TTAACCACAATAGTGTGGTTAACACCGCCTCCACAGAAAAAGTTCAACGCCTGCTTCTACATCACTGCCTGTTTAGCCCCGCCCACCGATTTGCGCATGTAGTGTAAATAACGAAAGAGACAAATGCAGAACCCAACAATAAAGATGGCTCAGAAGACAATAAAACACAGTGCCAAGCTGTGGAAAAACTCAGTCTTTGCACTGCCTTCCTTCTGATTCCAACATTAGGAAACAATGGATGAACTTTATTTTTAAAGGAGTCAGTGAGAACTTGGTCCTTAGTTCATTTCATTTTACCGCGGAATTCGACACAGGATTTCCAGAGAGATTGAAACTAAAAGACGATGCTGTGCTGACTATATTGGATCCGATCCAATAGTATTTGCTGAATAAAAGTAACTAAAAATAACTATGAATAAAAAAAAAAAACTCGACCCCAAATTTTTGAAGGTTATTATAAATTATATAGAGATGGGCGCAGTATGCATATATTAACAACTGTTATATTTTTCAATATAATAAACACTATAATTCAAAACAACTTTAAAATGTAGTAGACAAATGTGGGAATATTATACCAAAGTTTATGTCAGAGCACTAAAATAAATAAATAATAAAGAAACAAATAAACACCTTCCTGGTCTACCCTGACAAATCCACCAACAAAATTTGTCATACATGTACATCTTGAGATTAATCTTTAAGTCTAACTCTTCGAACCTACAGTTAACTTCTATCTCAAATTATTTCATGGTGTTATTTGAACTTAAATGTTTGATATGACCAAAAGCAGTGGCACACTGAATGCTAGTTCTGCCCTCTGCTGTGTTTTGCTCAAATATAACATGCATGGACTCTATAGCACTTCATGAGCACATACCTTACATTCCAAAATGAACATGAACAGACGTTTATTTCACAATCAAACCAAATGAGCATTCATGACTCCCTGCTAGTTCACATAATAAAATAAACCTCAACAGCCTTCTGGAACTAATGAAAAAAAAAAGCACTTTAAGAAATAAGCTAAAAAGAAACACGCATGTGGTTTCAGCTCAATTTATAATAAGCTTGACTTATAATAAGCCCTAACAAATCACATCATCCAACAAAAAAACAAAAACACAGCAGCTGCAAACCACATTATTAAGAATGAAACAGCAACTACTACATGTGTCTGATTTATTCTACACTCAATATTTGGTATCCACAGTTCTAACACATGTTCATTTAATTCCGTACGAGGTCTAAAGCCTAGTTCCTGCTGTGAATCAGTCACCCTGCTTGTGTTACCCAGGGGACGAGGGGATGAAAGAGAGAGAAAGAACGACATTTGCTTTCTCTTCATCCCCTGGGAAAATAGTGAATTCATAAATAGGATTTAGCGAGCCATTTTACTTTCATAATTGCCCTATTGACTTGACAATCTACAAAGGAATGGTCGACTCCTTCAACAGAAACACTAGATCACGTATCAGCCGGAGAGAGGAAGAATATCAGAGCCAGTGTGAGCAGGAACCAAGAATCCCTAGCCCTTGTCAAGAAGAAAACCTTTAATGAGGAATAAAGCCATCTGATGGCTTCGGGAGACATGATCGATTTAGCAGAGATGATTTCAACAGTTGTGCTGAAGTTATGTTATAGACTCATTCAATCTAGCCTCCTCCATTAGAAGTGACCAACGTACAAACTGAAAAGTGCTGAATCAATCAATTTTCATATTATAAATGCATGTTATTGATCTTATTGTGAACAATTATGCGTTTATTTCATTTTTTAACCACACAATTTTAGTCAAAATGTCATAACTCCAGACAAAGACAATTACTAACAGCAACTTCTAAGAAAAACTTGTGTACTTTTAAAACTGTACTACACTTTTTTTTTTTTGCAAGAATTTGTTAAATTATTAAGGGGACGAAAAAAAAAACTAACCCTTCTTCTCCAGCCTCTTTATTTCTTACTCAAATAAACTTTATAGAACATTCCTTTAGAATTAACTGGAGATTTCCAGGAACAGCATGATTTTCAGTAAAATGTGCTCAGAATGTGGTAAAATTGATTGGATATTAATCTTTTGTGAGCTGGAATGAATTGCCCAATGCAAAATGAGTTGTTTTTCTTTAAAGAATGTGTTAAATTATGCAATGATTAAAATTGTGGAGACTATGATTCAGAATCAAGGAAAATGCTAATCACAGTCAACTGAAAACAGACAAGCCTCATTTAAAAATGATTACAAATGATCAGCATGGTTTCAAAAGCTTCAACAATGCATAATCATTGATACTATGAACTCTACTTTGACCCAAAAGACATCAATTTTATTAAAACTAATCATTTACATTAGAGCAAAATAAATGCAGGAGCTCTTATTGATGGTACACATGTTCATTTGAGAATGAATGAACACTGGCACAGTTTGAATAAATCTTGAGAAATTATCATGTGCTATGAATTAAAGATTTGGGCGGGAAAATAGTTATCATCCTTGTTGTGAACAACCTTTTAACAAAAAGTTAATTATCACTGCAACAGTTCTAAGAAAATGTGTTCCATGATCCTGCAAAAAACTACAGCCCTCTTAAAAATCACAGAACGTAAACATTAGTCCTAACATTTCATCTGAGTCCTTCTCCATCCTCAGGTTATTTTTCTCTTTGGTGAATGACTTGACAAGGCATGCTTAAGCCCAAAATAGTAAAGTATTTATTCACTTTCTAGCCAAGACGTCAAGCTCCGTGTGTGCGATGAGCGTTTGGATTACTATACACACACACACACAAGTAGTTACTAGCTGGAGAACTGCAGGATCTGCAAGGTTTTCTTTCATTAAGCACGTCTGTCTAATGCACACAATCACACACAGGTCGGGGCATGTAAGGTGTGGCAGTGTTCCTGTTCAAGTAATCTTCCATGCTCCTGGGCTTGGACGTACTGAACTACACATTTCATCACAATGACACTCAATTTGTGTGATGGATAAGTGGCAAGAGGACTCATTCACCTCATACTGACTGACAAGGACACTGAGAGCATAACATAGAGGGATGCTGGATTGGAGACCACAGGCTGTTCACTTAAAAATGGAAGAGATGCTTCAGAATGCTGAATAAACTGTGTGGAAACAATTCATCACCTAATAAACCGACTCCCAAGGTCGGCTGTTCATTTAGGCTATACAGGTTGTTGCCTAGGGCCCTGATGTTGTGGGATGAGATATAATAAAAGAGAACATTTATTATATGCTGTTCGTTACTAAACACCAAAAAAAAAAAATAGACTAACAAAAAAGCAAGAACGCTCCAATTGCAATCAATGAACGGAACTCTGCTTATCGAATCTAAAAAAAAAAAAAAAACATTGAATTTTTGGACTAATTTTATGCACATATTTATGTACGACATTATTATTTGCTGTCTGAAAATATTGCAGTGGTTCTATTTATTTGAATTTTTTTTACAGTAAGATCCGATGGGGCAGATTTAACTCTATACTTTTGGCATAATTACAGCCCCAATTGCAATGAACGGAACTCTGCTTATCGAATCTAAAAAAAAAAAAAAAACATTGAATTTTTGGACTAAATTTTATGCACATATTTATGTACGACATTATTATTTGCTGTCTGAAAATATTGCAGTGGTTCTATTTATTTGAATTTTTTTTACAGTAAGATCCGATGGGGCAGATTTAACTCTATACTTTTGGCATAATTACAGCTCATTACGTAAAATCTACTTACTAGTTCTACTTCGCCAAGACTTAGTTGGGCGCGGCCCAGAGTTTGCCACGCCTCCCACCAGAGGGGGCGGAGTCTGGTGGCCATCTCTGCAGACTGCACAGCCAGGAACACTTCTTGAAGGGTGATCAACACCTAAGGATTACACATTACAAGGTTAGAAGTTGACAGACTCAATTCTGAAATATTTTCTCAACACTAATTTTGAAATCTAAACAGATTTTAAAGTTGCCCCTATTATGGATTATACATTTTTGAAAGGAATTACCTTTCATGCAGTGTGTAACGTAGCGTATGCGAATGTAAACAGTCTGCAAATAAAGCTGAAAGTGCATCATAAATAAAGTTATTGTCTCACAAAAGATGGAGTCGACTCTGAATGGCTTAAACGAGTCGTTTAAAATTCGAATTCCCTTTCCGTTAAGTTCACACGTCAAAACTTAACATATGCATTATGCCTGCTTACGTTCTGCATGGACATCCCGTGAAAACTTGAACCCTCCTCAAAGGCTGTAGCTTGTTCGTGTGGATAACATGTCGACAATTGTTATTTGGGTCTTTACTACTACATTCTGTTTCCGACATGCACTGTATGCAGTAGACCAAGCACAACAGACTGGGTCATTGGACCAATCAGAGTAGCCTCACACAAAGGAGGGGTTTGGAAAGATGAATCTTCGAATTAATAATTTGAGAGTCATTGAGAAATAAGGTAAATTTAGATGCATATTATAAGAAAATGAAAGTTTTTGACCTTGCATGCATGTAAACCTGTTGTTGGGGACTCCCAAAACCAAATTATGAAGCTTCCAAATAGCATAATAGGAGCACCTTAAAAGACTAGGCATCAAACACTTGCTGACTGGGAATCATACACCAAATGAATGATGATCACAAGCTACCAGACTACTGGTTGTTTCCAACACAACAAAGTCACACAGAACACGCGCCTCATTGCTAGAAGATGCATGACAAATGAAAACAATATGAGCTCTAAAACTGACTCCTCCAACTGAATGGGATCATCGTCTGAAACTATGGAGATAAAAATGGAGTTTGTGCCCATCTGTGAAATCGGTCTCCTCCAACTGGCCAAAATCTTCAGACTGGCTGTTACTTTTGGCAATGTTAACTGACTCCTCCAGACTGCAAATCGGGGCAAAAATTTGGGCAAATGTTGTGCAGTGTATTCCAGCCTTTACAAAATCTGATTTATGCAACTTATAATAGCTCTTTAGCACATCGTTAGCAAATTAAATTTTTTAAGAAAACAACAGTTTTAAAATTCATTTTGAGGTATGACTAGGTATAGTTTATAGAACAAAACTAAATTTTCACCACAGACCTAATTTCAGTTAGATATCTAAACATGACTGTTCTAAAAAGTTAATGCGGTTTTCCTGAAGTAACACATGGTTAATTAGCCTTCAAGTTTGGTCTACAAATTAATGTCAAGAATGAGCAACTCTATTCATATTTACTTAGTTACAACAGTTCCCAAGCTGATGTAATTTAAAATTTTATTTTACACATCAATAAAGTGTTATCACAACGCAAAACATCCACTTGGGCCATAAGAGAGAGACAATATAATGACAACGAGCGAGCAAACACTGCACTTCGTGGCAACACAGGGATGTTCTTACATCACAGATGTTTCCATTATGGAGTTTTATTTACTTAAAGCCTTTAAATTCAGGTCAGCCCAATAATCAAAGTAAATACAAGCTTTATACAGGGCAGGGTGTTGCCAGAGTAACAGCAGTTAAAGGACAAAAATGGGCTGTAATCTTAGTTTCCAGCAGGTTTGGTTCTGAATTTGCAGGCAGGCTGAAAAATGTTAGATTCACGATGAGGTGAGCACCACTGCTAAACAGGTGTGTAATAAGCAGATGCAGGGGACACGGTGAGAGAGAAGAAAGGACAAATTAAGAAGGGCAATTTAAAAATAAACTTTATGCAAACTCGACTTGTTGTGAAACATTGCTTGTAGATGGATCAGGGCAAGACCAGAGCCAACCTGCCACTTCAACACGATCAGATTACTAATGAGAGACACACTCAATCATCACTCTTTTCAGGTGACTCACCTCAAATAAACATGTGATCAGTCAGGAAAAGGTCACTACAAGAAGGGGAAAATAAGGACAGCCAGTGCTGAAATGAATCCCTGACCTATGCTGCGCTCAAGTGCTTCTGGGAAATTCCCACTAATGAGTTGGGAAGTCATAATTATATGATGTAAGTTCAAGTAATTTTTTATTTTTTTTTTAAATAAATGGAATGACAGGACACTTTTATTATAGGCAAGAAGAAAAAAAGTCCACATTAGGTGCAGCAAATAAAAGTGTAAAGTCAACATTCACAGTAATGTATTGTGATCAATAGCAATTTGAAAGAAAGTGCTGAGTTTTCTTCTGGTAATTATGCCTTTATGGTGTTGTTCATGTGCACTCAACTCAATAAATCAGCTCAATAAATTGTGATCATTCTGACATGACCAACAGATGTTCAACCTATAGTGAAGCTTCACTGAATGCAATGGATGCCAATCATTCATAACCAATAAGAAATGCAATGCTTTGTTATATATTTTTAACTGATATTATTTATTATTAAACTTAATAACCTTAATTAAAATAATGCCAAACAATTTCATACCATTTTCTATTGACCTGCTCTTTATAGCATGTAGAAAAACAACTTTATAGGTTTTCCAGATGCAGTTTTCTGCAAAGAAATATGTTTATATGCATGTAGGTATGTCTTTATTCATTTTGAAAAACTACAATAGAGAACTGTATTGTAAAACCTGCTCTATCACTGTTACATTCACAGTTTCGCAAAGACTATTTGATTTAGGCTTTATCCAGTTTCTGAAGATAACACCCACATACCGAGTCTGTGTTAGATCTCTGAATGAGAGTGCTAGAAGAGAACATGAACAGGCTGTTGTTGCTTTGATCGAAAATTTAATCAGGAAATCAATCAGTCGAAAGGAGTTTTAAAGTCCAACCTGTCATTTCACTCACACTCATCTTTGCCATGAAAAACAAAACTACAACAGACGGCATCAAAGCCAAGACACTTGTGCCAAAGATAAGATGAAGAGCAACGAAAGAGGAGTTTAAAAGTGAAAAATAATAGAGGATGGAAAATTTAGAAAAAAAGACAGTGAAGGATGGGAAAGACAAAACAACAAGAAGACAGAAAGAACAGACTAAGTGATTAGATGTAATGACTGCTGCTGGATGTAATCTGTCCTATGTTAGTGAAATAAGAGAGCAAACAAGTGTGTTTGTGTGTGCACTCATCTCAGTAAACAGCTATACGGTGGACCAGTAGTGCACAACATAATGGAAACAAGCCACAACACAACAAAATTAGCACAACACAACGGAAACAAGTCGCAACACAACGGAAAAAAGCCATTAGCACAACACAATGGAATCAATTCACAACACAACAAAATTATCACAACACAATGGAAACAAGTCACAACACAACAAAATTAGCACAACACAATGGAAACAAGTCACAACACAACGGAAACAAGCCATTAGCACAACACAACGGAAACGAGACGCAACAATGGAAACAAGTCGCAATACAATGAAATTAGCACAACATAATGGAAACAAGACGCAACACAAATGAAACAAGCGACAACACAACACAATGACAGCACAACACTAAGAAATTGGTCCTATGCGTTATGTTGTGGCGATTTCATTGCATTGTGCACTACTGGGCCACTGTACAGCTAAGTCACTGAGCAGGCTCTATAGCACATACGTGTGTGCGTATGATTGAGTAAGGCAAGCAAGTACGCAAACATCTGTCAAGATTTAGGGCCATTCAGCAAATTCTGTACAGACTAGTGAAGTAAAATAAAGGAGAAATCCAAATGATGCAATCCAAGACCATTCCTGAGACGAGCTTACATTGCAGATATGTTGAAATCATGAAAGTCTAAAGCTTAAATCGGTCTTTGTTTTTTATCACAGAATTTGGTCATCATTCCAAATGCCTGCAAATTAACATAAATTAGTTATACAGTAACTAAGATCCTGATAAACAAGTTAAGAAGAGAAACTAAAATTAATTACATAACATTTCAATCTATCAATACCCTCTGTTTAGTGCAAAATTAATTTCAAGTAAGATGTCAAAGAGATGAAAATGTTCGACAGAAAAACGGTCTGATATTTTGAGACGATCTGCCTCTGCCAGATCCAAGATACTGTAATGTCCTGATAGCAGACTCTCACCTTTACTGTCAGAGCAAAAGCTGAGATGAGATGCTAGGAGTGGATAATGGTCAGGAGAGAGTGAAAGACAGGATATTAAAGGTAAGATGAGTGAATGAGGTGACAAATGATGGAGCAGATAAAAAGACTGATTAGGTCATTTGTTGACTGAAACTAATGGGCATCTTTGGCTCATCATAACCTGAACCCACCATCTGCTCTACCAGCTCTGCCATCTTAACAATAATATTATTGTCAGTCTTGTGTTCCAGTGCCTTGTGTTTCCCTCCCTCTTATGCACATCTTTGGTCTTCCTGTTCCTGTCCTCATTATGTTTATTTGGTTCAAGCTGTGTCTGATTAATTATATCATTTGCCCCTAGCATTTAAACCCTGTGTTTCCCTAAGTCTGTGTCGGCTGTTATATGTCTTCCTTGAGTTCCTGTGATTACCCTGTTGCTTGTTCCATTAAATTCCATGTTGAAGTATTCTCCTGCGTCTCCTCATTCCTTCCTCCCAGTGAAACGTGACAGAACAGCCGACCTAAAACAAAAAGTAAGGGTTGCCTTTTCTCCCCGTTTTTATTTTTTCGTTTTTAGTTTCCCTGTTTTCCTCCGCGGCAATAGAAGTTGCTGCTCGGTTCACCACCCTAGTTCGTCTGGATCTCCCCTTCGTTGAGTATTCCTGGGAGTTCTGCAGGCTCGCTCCGGCTACGGCCTTGTATGACTCCACCCTCAACTCCCATCGCCCCGTGGACCTCCCAGACACCACAGGACTAAGCTGGAGAGAAGGAATCCTCCGGTGTCTGGAGAGCGTCCGGCCCCGAGCCAGAACCAGCCCACCGGCCGCGGCATCCTCAAGCCCACCGGCCGTGCCGATGTCAAACCTGCCGGCCACTCCGAGG